TTTCTTGTACACCTGTCTTAAAATGTAAGGGATACTGGAGCTTGGTTGGGGTGGTGGGATGGCTCACGGTGGGTGGCAGAAAATTTCCCTTATTTTCAAATCCAAAACTTGACAGGTATGGTTACGGGTGGGTAACGGGCAGAATGTTAACGGGCCCGGGCGGGTGCGGATTCAACTTTGAAATAATCACGGGTGCACGGGCGGGTGTGGTGCTGTACCGTGTGGGTGCAGGTCTCCAAAAGTGGACCCATGCAGGACTCTGCCATCTCTCCACTGGGGAAAACACCTTTCCTGAGAATAAACAATAAACAACACCTTACTTATCCAGCTGCTCAGCCTTTCCCATGGTCCTGAGGGAATTCCCTGGGTGAGAAACCCAGCTAAGAAAAGACATAGTTAAACGTAATACATCAGCATTTATAATCATTATTCACAGCACTAACAGATGATTCCATGTGATATGGTACCTAAAGACTCTCTCTAGAGGTTTATCATATTAGATGATCATCTTATTTTCAGGCATCAACTATCAGGGAATAATTCAATAAGCATTAAAGGATATTCTACGTTTGTGGATTAGCATTATAAAAATATGTTTGAGATCAAGAAACAAGAAAAGGTCTCTATGATATGGTCTCTTTCATATTATAGATTGGTGGGAATAAAGGTTTTTATAATTCTCCTTTCAATAAGGTTTTATAGAAAGGATTTAGTGACACTTGCCATTAGACCTACAGAAACGGATGCAGAAACAGTCGTTAAGTTCTACAAACCGGGTTGTGCTCCCAACGACTGCATCTCTAGATCTTGATCTTATAACATGCTGTGGCTTTCTTTCAAGGCTTTACAGTGTGTCACTCATCTGTACCCATTTCCCCAAAGCAGCGTGTTGTGATTCACTGGCTTGTCTTGGAAGCTTAATCCTCCCTATTTGCATTCACCCGACTATATTTGCTAAATTTTAATACTTCACCACCCTGCTTCTTAGGCACATTTGATATTTTACACACAAACATTACACTGTAGGCTGAGCCTATATTTATGATGACTGTTTTACACAATCTAATAATAATAATCATCATCAACATCATGTTAATGAACACATGAATGAATACATTCATGTGCTCATTAAGAAAAGCATGCAGTCGGTGTATTGAAATGCAAACAACACTATATTAAGTGTGAACATAATGTGTTTGTTTAGCCACCAAGTCACTAATCTAGTGTCTTCTGACTATAGTTAACATTAAAGGTTTACCATTTTCCTATCTTAATATCATTGCTGTCAAACCCACCTGTTGTGCCACGGAGCGGGCGACCAGGAAAGCAGGTGAGAGCAGGCAGATGGAGGGGTAAACAGGGTTTTAATTGGCACGAGAAGGTAGACAAAAACTAATACGCATAACAATACAATGACGGAACTGGGGACTACCGACTTAGACACGGACTAAATACAGGAGACAGGCTAAGGGTAACGAATCACAGGTGAGAACAATCAGGGAATCACACGAGGTAACGAGGTGGGCGTGGTACACATTGGGAGCAGACGATCGGGGCATGACACCACCCTTGCATGGGTGGATCCTGGCAAGAGCAGGATGGGCGTCACCTGATCAGCGCTGAATTAGCCAGCCAAATTTCTGTTCCTAAACATTAGCCGCTTTCACACTGCAGGAACTTTTTTTCCGAAGCCAGAACCTTCTTCTGGGACCAGGAACTTTTGTCACGTTCAGGAACTTGGCCCGATTGTAATTCCTCGGAGGCAGTTCCAGAACCTTTTTTTAGTACCTACGCCAGACTACAGCTATGTCTAAATTCAGGTAGCTGCATTCTTCTAAGGCTGCATTCGAAGACCGAATGTGTCACAGCAGTGTGACAAGGCTGTCCCGTTTCGAAGGCTCCTTCAAATGCAGCCTACAAATGCCCAAGTGTAATTCTTTTGCAGAGATCCCT